CCCCAGGTGCAGGACCCTGCACTTGTCCTTATTGCCCCTCATGAGGTTCCTCTCTGCCCAACTCTCCAGCCTGTCCAGGTCCCTCTGGATGGCAGCACAGCCCTCCGGAGTGTCGGCCACTCCACCCAGCTTGGTGTCATCYGCAAACTTGCTCAGGGAAGTATGATAGAACTAGGGAGGTGAGAGCAGAGGACCAAAATAGAATGGGCAAAATCAGGTCATCTTATTATGTCTGGTAAACYGGGTGCTAGTTTACTTCACTACTGCTACTGTTATCAACAATTTACTGTAAAGAGCATATTCTCATTCCTTCCTTCCTTTCAGCCTGCACATTTTTTGTCCTGTACCGTGTGATTTCTATCAGTTACATGCGCATTATTGGTGAAAAGTGCCCATTTWTGCCTCATTCTGATAATCATATAAACCTTCTTCTCTTTTGCTCCCTTAAATACCKTCTCATTTTCTCCGTGTATAGCAAATATCTGAAGTCGCCACCTTTCCTTTTCCTTCAGCCCGATAATGAGATGTACTCGTTGTTGTGAGGCCTGCCGGCTGCTCTCCTCCGAGCATGGATAAGTAGGCAGTGGGGAGGAGCTGTTTTGTTAGGATCCAAATTATTCGTTGGATTATTTTTTTCTTTTCTCCGTGATCCCTGGTAAGAAGGATAACTGTTTTTGGGTAAAGATAGAGTTTTTATTTGTATAATGCACAAACAATCAGGACGTGTTTTGGAGCCCAGATGTTAATGTAATTAAAAAAAAATTGTTCATGTCTTCTTACATGTTTAATTAAAAACAAAAAAACAAAGGTCTACATTTCTGCTGGCTTGGTATTGTTTCTTAAAATGTCAAGTTGTGCAACAAATTTTAATAAGAAGCAAAGTTCTTTGGAAGATCAAAACCGACCCTCCCCTTGCTTTTGATTTCTTTCATTAGCTTTGATCGTGTTGCAGTTGCAGGTAGGTAGATGTGCTGTGGTGCCAGGCACATCACGCGTCGATATGAAAGGAAACCGAGCGAGTGGGAGCACCAGCCCACACTCTGCCTCTGCTTGTCTGCATTTCTTGCTCAGAAAGGTTATAGGGCAGCACAGTGGCTATTGTCTTTCAAATATTATTTGGAATGCTTTTCTGTTGTTCCGAATCAAAACAGCACGAGTGGGATGGATTCCGGATGTGCTGTGAGATTAACTTCTTTTTTTTTTTTTTTTTTTCCCCTTTCTGTGATTTTTTTTTCTTCAATATTTGTCTTGCATCTGCAGGAGATAACTGATGAATGAGAAAAATAAACCTTTTATTGACACGGAATCTTTGCAGTCAAAACTTGGTATTTTCTAACTGACATCTTCTCACACGAGTTGATTTCAAATCTGAAAACACACAGTAGGAGAGAGAAATACAGTGGACCTAAATGTTCATGACCGGAATTAAACACCAAGCAATAGCTATAACAGTAAAGTAGTAGTTYTGCCACCACTGGTGTTGTAGTACCAGAGTTATATTTTTCCTTTTTTTGCTCCATGTGCAGGTAGAAAACTCAAAGCTGAACAAATTCTTTGTCATTTTTCTCAAGTTGAATTTGTTTAAAATCGATAGGAGTTCTTGTCTGAACAAAAGACTTTATCCATTCTTATGGAAGTGCTGCTCCTATTTTTTCCTCATAAAAGGTGAATAGATTGTGGGTTTAGCTTTTTATGGCAGTATCAGCTCCAGAACCAACCTYGTTGTGCTAAACTTCAGTGTAGATTAGACAGCAGGGAGGTGAACTGGTGTTCTATGGCGAGCCAACAAATTGAAGTTGTGGTGGTGTGATGTCCTGCAGATCCTGCCGAGCGAGTGTTAAGGTTGCCAAAGTCATGTTGGGTTTAAAGCAGAGATTTTCACRGAATGGTAGAGGTTAGAAGGCATCCTCAGAAGTCGTCTTGTCCCTGCTCAAGTGGCGTCAACCACCGCAGGTTGCCTGGGGTTCTGAGKTGGGTTTTGAGCAGAGGTGAAGGTGCCCTTCCCAAGGGCGTTCAGCAGAAGTGCTGAGGGGAGGTGCATTTGTGTTTGACAGAGACCTGGTGGAGTGCAGTTGTTCTTGGAACTGTAATGAAAACAATAAAAGCACAAAAATGGAAAGAAATCTTTTCTCTTTAGCATATTACACCAGCTTTGGAGCTGGGGAGGTGACAGGAGGTGTCTGCTGCATGTCTGGAAAGGTCTTGTAAGCGGTGTCGGATTTGCTGAGKTGCAGGCAGGGCAGAAGGCCCTCACATCGCTGCCATCCATCGCTGWGGTTTTCTAAAGCAGCAGTGATTCTCTGAACGCTTTCTTGGTGCTGCACGATGCAGCAACAGGCATATGCAGCAGCGTTGGAAGACRTCTTCCGTGACTGACATAAAACCACAAAATAAATATCTAATAAAGTTAAATGTAGAATTAATCGTGCTCTGAAGTGTTATCTGTTTAGTTTGCTGCCTCCTGCAGAACAACAGTGTTAACTTGGCTATATAGGTGCCAGAGAAGGTGGAGAAATACCGTCACGATTGCAGGTAACACCYGTTACCTGGAGAAGAGAGGCAAGCAGTTTTCTTTTTCATGTTTATTTTCTCCTGGTGCACTGTTCTTTTCTAAAGATCAAGGGCTTTTTCTTCAACCTAGGGGCGTACAGAGCATCTTGTTCAAGACAGGTGAAAAGAATCACCTACCTAGAATATGAGACTAGGACACTGGGGGAGGGAAAAGGACAGTTTTGCATTTGTTTGTAAAGTAGGTGCTTGAAAGTTGGTTCTGCAGAAAGTGTGGACATTTTGCAGAAGCTACATGATGTTCATTTTGTCATGTTTCTTTCTTAAATTTGCTAACATTTTTTAATAGCTTTAGAACAATATTTATCTGTTATATTTGCATTATCCTTAAYTTTTGTTATCCATGTATGTAGGGATAGAGCCCAAGTTAAACATCCTGGAGATTGTGAAGCCTGTGGAGACTGTGGAAGTGGTGATTGATCCAGATGCTCATCACGGTGAGGCYGAAGCTCACCTCGTTGAAGAAGCTCAAGTGATAACCTTGGATGGAACCAAACACATAACAACAATTTCAGATGAGACCTCTGAACAAGTGACACGATGGGCTGCGGCACTGGAAGGCTATCGGAAGGAGCAGGAGCGCCTTGGGATTCCCTACGGTACTTAGGACATGACCGTGGAGGCGGGAAGAGAGGGGATGCTATTTTGTTCATTTRGAAGTTAGCTATTTATTTATTTAATAAATTAGCATTACTTAACATTGGTTGTGGAATTTGAAGTGCTCTGATGCCTCAGAGAAGGCCTTTTATAGTATGGAAGAAAGCAATGCAAGTGTTTCTGCAAAAGAGTGGGCTAAAGAGAAGTAGGATCAATGTTTCTAAGAGTTCTACTAAATTAGTGCAGTTTGCTCCACAACTTCCTTGTACTTGGAGTTTTTAGAAATTCATTTTCTTTGTGAATATTTGAACAGCCCTCGGGCTGAGAGCTCAGGAGCGGGGAGGAATCTGGTCTGAAGATACGGCAACAAGCTGTGGGATAGGCTGCAGGAAGTTAAGCATGTTGTAAAATGGGATTTTACATGGAATGCAAAATGTTGGCTTAAACACAGTGGAAGAACATGGTTCAGAGCTGAATGTAAAGATACCCATATCTTTACCTAACATAAAGTAAATGCTAGTCTGTTTTGAGCTAGTGTACCGCTGAGCTCGTTACTAATTTCTTGTTATCTTACGCTTAAAAGACACTTSTTATATACTCAAGATTGAGCTGTTTTTCCAGTTTTAGATCTATATGGTATTCAGGAGCTTATGCTGCTTGTGGCTCTTGAAATGTACAGTTACATTGTGTTCTGCATATGAAGCTATAGTACATGAGCAGGTTTGCAGAATGGGAGTGTRTTTGGCCAAGGGGATCCTTTGAAGCTATATAAAAAAAAGCCAAAAACAGTGAAGTCATAGATTAAAAATGCTTACAAATTATTTCTGATAATTAAAGCAATGAATTTTTGAAGCTTTTGTGTTGATCTCATTGACAAACACTTCCAAAATAGCTTTTGTCATGTCTGTTAGTTGAGTGTGATGCAGAATGCATTTGGAGTTGTCACACTCTCTCAGTTGTCCTTGAAATCTGCCCACAAGCTCATTCATTAGTACAAGAAGAAAATTATTTAAACCTATGTTATTAGGACCTTAATGTTGTGAATAAGTTTTACTAATTTTGTTGCCTGGCCTTAAAAAGAAAGAAACCACATGTGTGGCTTTAGACATTTAGTGGTGTCTTTGTCATGGGAGTGCAGTTTTTCCAGGAAAATCCGACTTGCTTGTTGTGACAAAGATCCCTATAACCATGGCTTCAACTTGATATCCAAAAAGTGCCTTAGTCTGTCCTTTGGAAGGACTTGTATTGAAATGGGGAGTCACTGTATTCTGTATTGGGATGTGGTGAGAAGTTCCCGAGAAGGTAATTCCGTGAGGTGGCAGCCGCCTGCCTTGGCCCGTCCTTGCCAGCTGCAGCAAGGACCGGCCGCATCCCGGCTGAGGCGCCGCGGCCGAAATGTTGACGTTTCTCCCTTCTTTGTCCCCAGATCCCATGCAGTGGTCGACGGACCAGGTGCTGCACTGGGTGGTGTGGGTGATGAAGGAGTTCAGCATGACCGACATAGACCTCAACGCGCTCAGCATCGCCGGGCGYGAGCTCTGCAGCCTCAGCCAGGAGGACTTCTTCCAGAGGGTCCCGCGGGGAGAAATTCTCTGGAGCCATTTGGAGCTGCTTCGGAAGTGTATGGGAGATTTTTCTGAGACTGTGATTTTTACTCCCTCCACCCTTCTCTGTGCTTTTCTTTTTTTCCCCTTCAAGGTGACAGATGGCGAACGGTTGTTTTTCCTCCAGTTCATATGAGCAGTAAAAATTAGGACGCTGAGGACAGGAGATATAGTGAGGATGGCTGCGGTTATATTAAACACTGTTTGCCCATCTTCCATCAAACTTTATTACTAATAGGGAGGAAACAGTGACTTATGATTCATTCTTCACTCCTAATAAAGATTCTTAGTTTGTGCATCTTCTGATTTTGACAGTTTTTTAATTACCTATTGATTTTCCATGTTTAATGTACACCTCTGTCTAGGTAGATGTGAACAGTATTAAGCATATGTAATGAAGTCCATAGACTGTGTACAGCACAGCTGATGAGCAATGCACTGGATGTGTATTAATACACTTCTAGGTCTACTTGGCTTGGCTGTAGTTAAGCAGGCTAAAAACAATTTCCATCTTGAGTCTTGCTGTTAATTTATRTATCTAAAGATTTTTAGAGGATTAAAAAATCGAAACGATAGCTTGGAATTCACCATCAAATCTGTTTCTAAAAATTGGCAAATATTAAATRTCTCTACCCATAAGATCATGGATTGTGCATGTCATTTGCAAGTATTTATCACATTTTAGTTTATTTAACTTTGCTTTCTTATTTAACTCTCTGTATTCTGAAATACAGAAGTATTTGGCTGACCTGAAGTTTATGGGTTGAACAAAAATGTAACATATTTTTCCTTTAATTTTCAGATGTGCTGGCTAGCCAGGAACACTCTGGAGAAATAGCAACTGTAACTATTGATCAGCGTGAGTAGTCTCTTGATGAACACAATTAGCTGTTAGCAGGACCCTTGGCTTCAACGCTGTGATGATAGAAGATTTAGAAACASATTGGAGAGAGTAGTTTTCTTTTGTGGGGAGAAGTGTATCTTAAGCTTTAAAGCACATCCTTGTGTTTGGGGTTTTGTGTTCCTTGCTGAAAGTTTCCCAATAACCTAAACTACAAAAGTTTGTCGTCATCATTTTGCATTACAAGTTTTCTTTTCTGCTTTGTAATTGTGGTGAAAACTATTAGTCCTCAATAACTGAAATTGCTATGATTTTATATATATATATATATATATATACTGTGTGTGTGTTCATATGTGTGTGAATGTGTATTGATTTGTACAAAAGAGTTCTAGGATATATCTTGAGCTCGAGGGCTTTTTTTTTTTTCATGTTATGTATTGGGTTACATATTGGGTTAATGAATAGCTGTATTACAATGCTTTGAGTTGAGCGGGGGRAAAAAAATCTCCAAAAATGAAAGGAGATTTGAAAGATTTGAAAGAGAGGGCTTGTTTAGAATTGCTGCATGAAAGTAATTTTCAAGTTACCTGCAACTCATTCTTCTAGTTGCCATATAATATCATCCATTAACAAAATGAATCTCTTTGTAAACAGCTTATGTGCACTATAGATAAGCCAYGTATTACATCCTTGGAATGTGTCTAGCTAAAGTCACTTAGAGTGGGGACTTTATGGTTGCCCTCTGACACGCTTGCAGTGGAAGGATGTTTTGTTGCTGCTTGAATAGCAGGTTTGGAGGGTTATTCAGTGACTACAGAAAAGAACTGCATTAGGGGAGATTGCATGGGAACAGCTTGAAGCTGAAAATACAGGCATGAGATTTCTTTCACAGAAATGCATTATACTCAGGGTAATAGACAGAAGCTAATGCCTTACCTATAATTCAGCATCACTCCTACAACCCTGAAACCACTGTTTCCCCTCTAAGAGGTAAAACCTCTTTAAATTATTCTTAGCATGGTGACTTATTAATACTGCATGTCTCTCCTTTAGCAAAGGAAAAAAGCAGCTAGATGTTATGATAATACAAATAATAAATAATATATGCCTATGCATCTGATGTTTCTCTGCCAGCAATTTATAATTGATGTTTTGCAATGTTTTCTGCTTTACAGCTGTGCAAATTATTCCAGCATCTGTACAGCCTGCTACCCCAACCACCATTAAAGTAATCAACAGCAGCGCAAAGGCAGCTAAAGTACAGAGAGCTCCGAGGATCTCTGGGGAAGATAGAAGTTCCCCTGGTAATAGAACAGGTACTGTCTGCGTTATTTAAAAATGCAGAGGCAGCAGGCACTTAATTTGAGTTACAGATTTGCAGCACACATATCTGTCACGTTGACTTAATTTGAGTTACAGATTTGCAGCACACATATCTGTCACATTGAGGATGATGGTTGTAGAAGAAGCTCACAGAGCAGCACAGGCACGTGCAGAGCGGCCGAGGTGGGTAGCTCACGTGAGCCCCACACGAAGGGAGCCCCACGTATTCCTGCAGCGGGTGCAGGCAGCGGCCTGAATGCCCTACAGCAGATGAGATGCAAAAAATTGTCTGTCTCTTCAAATCCTTAAACAGTCTGTGCTCTCAGGCCCTCTACCACATCGCTCAAGCTTGTAGGAGCTTTCTGCTTTTGTCCACGGACAGTGGAGAAATAAACCCTGCTGGCCCCATCTGCCTCACTTTCTCTCTCTTTTTCCTTTTTGTCTTTTTCCCACTGGCAACCTCAGAATTTAGCAGGTTTCAGATTCCTGTTTTGTTGTTAAATTAATGCACCTTCTGGGGAACAGCACACTGAATTTGCAGGTTATTTTCAGAGTTCTTGTTATTCTTGCATGCTCTTTGATTCATTAATAACTTATCGCATTGCTTTCTCATTGTCACTTCCCCCCAGGTTCTCTCTGCTCTTGTGAACTGTTTTGTTAAATCCCTTCCTCTGCCCCCTTCTGCCAACTTTTTTTCCCTTTTTTGTTTTAATTCTCTGATAAAGTCTCAGTGCTGAAATTGGGTTATTTGGCCCGGACTTTATGAACCAGTGTCAATGGGAAAGATGTAAAGGGTTTCTCCCTGCAAACATCAGGTCTGCTACATACACATCATAGGGAATTTAGGTATTTAACTCTAGTTACTCAAGTAAACAAGAAAATTTAGTGACAAGGACAATGTTGTAAMCTGGGTTTTTCAGTATTTCTAGTGTTGCAAGAACTTGGAGATGAATACATTTTAAACAAAAACTATTACATGTATTTATATCAGAAAAGGAGTAATCGGCTCTCWCTAAATCTCTTCTCTTTCAGAGAGGGGTATACATCTGAATCATTATGTTTAATGTTATATGGATAACTTCTCAAGTTTAGAATGAGTATATAAGAAATCTTAATTTGCTGTATTCCTCAGATTTTTGGATCRATATTTATTAGCTTGAAAAGTATTATTCATTTGTAAAGTAGGAAGAATTAAGCAAGCTCAAGGATTTGGGCGTTTTATTTGTTTGTTTTTCTGAGCTCATTCTGTGCTAGTTTGTTTTAATGTGGTAGCTGTGAATTTTTAGCCATGACGAGAACATAAGAAGGACCGCTTAAAATGGACATCATTATTCCTATTTCAACAGGAAACAACGGGCAGATCCAACTATGGCAGTTTTTATTAGAGCTTCTTACTGACAAAGATGCTCGGGACTGTATTTCTTGGGTCGGTGACGAAGGAGARTTCAAATTGAATCAACCTGAACTGGTTGCCCAAAAATGGGGACAGCGCAAAAACAAACCCACCATGAACTATGAGAAGCTTAGTCGGGCTCTGCGGTAAGAAACTTCAAAAACTGATCGTGTATGAAGTGTTTTGCTTCCACCTAATTGACTATTTATTTTTGACTGTCATAATGCGAGACTTCCGTGGGTTTTTTTTAGGAAAGAACTTCCCTAAATAGAGTTCTCTGAAGGTACTTTCTCCATTTGATCTCAATAGCATTAGAGATAACTCTATAAAAAAAAAAAAAAAAGTGAGGGGAATAATATTTGAAAATATACTTTCTTTAGGTTATTGAACTTGAACCATGACATCATGATCACAATTATTAACTTGTGTAGATCCCTTTTTCTAAAAAAGAACAAATTCAGTGTCTTCAGCATTTATGCTTTCAGAATGTGCCAAGCATGTTTTGTTAGTGGTGAAAGAAACGGAAATACTCTGAGTCTGAATACTCTGATTTGTTTTATATTTTGCAGGCGATGTATGTGCATCTAGCTTCTGTTGCAGTATAAAGAAGGCATTCTTCTGTGATTATTTATTATTTTTTCTATACATACCATTTTTTCTATACAGAACAAAATTTCTGAGTTTATACTTTCATTGAATTATTCCATTATTCTCACAATACAGATGTTAAATTCCAAAATATTGTTTATAAACAGATAAGTCTCAACCATTGTTGTTATTCCCATATAGTGAACTTTTGCGTTTGAACAATTTGAAATGTTTCAGACTGTCTTAATTCCACGATCTTGCTCTTGTACKTTGATAAAAGGAGCTTTTACATCAGGGTAGATGTCATGCCTGGGGAACAAAATGCAAGTTCCTGAAAGTTAGACTACTTTTCTGATTATTTTGGCACCTGGAAGAATATGGAAATTCTTCCAAGTTCTCTGAAATCATTCAGAGATTGAACTTTCTTATTCTCATTTGGTTCTATCCTGATCATTGAATGGGAAGAGAGGTTTTTAGTGCCTAATGCTGCAGAACTTTAAGCAGTTCTGAAACTCTTTATGTGAGTGAAGTTGCGTATTTGTTCAAGTCTGAGATAAAAGGTTTAGTTGTAGTGTTTTGGGTTTTGCTAGTGTTATTTTCCAAGAGGAAGTCAGCCCTGCTCTAAAAGGATGCCAGGTAAACCGGGATCATCCCTCCTCCCAGCGCCGCTCCCGCGTGCTTGGAGGCTCTGCCGGGGCCTCTCCTGGCTCGTGGGTCCAGTCCCAGCGCTGCTCCCCAGTCAGCCACTTCCCAGCCCGGGTGGTCAGGAAGCCATTCCTGTATTCCCGTGTTTTAGGGAATCTCTGGAGGTGTTTGCTGACGGTGCAAAAGTTGTGCAAAACTCCTGCAACATCAAAGTCACGCGAGTGATTTTGTAGCGTGTGCTTGGCTTCTGTCAGCAGCTATGCAGAAGATTTCAAAGGCAGCTGAAGAGCCGAGGAGCAGCATCCTTATCCCTGGGATGCGAAACAGATGTCTGTGCAGTGATTTGCATAAATCCCTATTAGAAGTTTTGCATTTATGTCTTAGTCGCAGATTCACAGAAGTCACGTTCTTCAAAGTCACGCTGTTTTGGCAGCTGCACCAATATTGACATGTTTTCTAACACTTCAGTGTCTGAGGAGATATTCATTGCCTCTTTCTGCTGCTGAGATAAGCACTGTTGTCAACCTAAACTTTTATTAAAACAAAAGCAGTAGTGTAAATGTTTCCTCACCARTGTTGTGAAATTACTGTGTTAATTTTTGATTAATACAGATACTAAAGTTGACGTTRTTGAGGCAGATGCAGCCCTCTAGGTTATAGAGCTGATGTAACCTGCTGTAAATGAGTCTGTGCTTCACTAGGAGGCTGAGCTGATGGGCCCGGTGCAGAACGGTCACAGCCCATCACTTGTTGGCAAGGCAGGTGGCAAGAAGCTGCTCCGGAGATCAGGCTGGGAAGAGGGATAGCAGCCGATGGGAAGCGGAACGAGATGGAGAGGAGCACGGGGAAAGCTGCGCGAGGAGGCAGGGGCAGCAGGGGGAGAGGCTCTGAGCTGCCCCGCGACTCACCGGGAATGCCGGGAGCCGAGAGGTGGCCCTGACGCACAGCCTGGGTGCCTGCCCCGCGCCAAGGAGCTCCCAGGGGGATTCTGGAATTCCAGGCGCCTGCAGACCTTGGAGAGGTTCTTTCTTATTCCCACTAGAGCTAGGAGACAAAGCCAGCCCTTTGTTTAACCTAACCTGGAATGAGAAACCGCTGTGGGGCCAGCGTGTCCCTTGGAGGGCTGACCCTGTGCTGGCTCCTCTCTGCTTGGAGTCGACTTTGAGGAAACTCAGTGGTGATTGTTGTTTTTCTTTTCAAATTTATCACGAACTTGCTAAGATCGTCAAATGCCAGTTATGTTCATATTTCCTTTCTTAATGAGAAATGTGGTCTGCATTAGTGCCTGCAGTGAAACRAGAACAATAAAACTGTAAAGTGCCAACTACTTTTTTCTCTTGAGTATTACCTAAGGATTTATGTCTGTGGAGCGCAGTAGATCATATAGGCCTTGTCTTGACCACGTCAGGGTGGTAACTTTTCTGCGGCATAATGTAAAATGCATTCATAGGTAAAGAAAAGTTGCTTTTAATTGTAAGGCAAAGGATGTAGTTTTGCCAGCACATGAAGTACATAAAAGCAGGGTGTGTTTTTACAGCTGTACTGTCTTTAGAGCAACTATTCCATGYCCTTCCTGTTGTTTTCCTTAGCTTAGAGAGCAGTGTTAACTTTGAAACTATTAATCTACATGATTTTTTTTTATCCTTGTAAAAGCAGGGAGAAGAGTAAAGGAGGCAAATAATGATAACAAGGGGAAAGCAACATTTTCTTATCTTGATACATGAAGTTACATGAGAATYTCAATGAGGAAAAGATCGATCATTCTTTGTCCTTGAAGTGTTCTTAGGCAAGTTACAGATGCTGAAAACTTACTTGGATTTTTTCCTTTTCCTTTTCCTTTTTCCCCCCCATTCCACAGGTATTACTACGACGGAGACATGATCTGCAAGGTGCAAGGCAAGCGGTTTGTGTACAAGTTCGTCTGCGACCTGAAGACGCTGATCGGGTACAGCGCGGCCGAGCTCAACCGCCTGGTCACGGAGTGCGAGCAGAAGAAGCTGGCCAAGATGCAGCTGCACGGCCTCGCGCAGCCCGTCACGGCGGTCGCGCTGGCCACGGCCTCGCTGCAGGCGGAGAAGGACAACTGAGGCTGGCCTGGGCACGGGGCAGCCCCAGGCCTCTCCTGTGTGAGCGGAGAACCTGCTGCTCTTCCCTCTGCTGCGGCTGGAAGCTTCTTTTTTTTCTTTCTTGACAGTACCGTATGATGCATGGTTTTCTACAAAGGAAAAGGACTCCCGTGAATTTGGATCTTTTAACAGCATGTGTTTCAGTGTGAGCTAAGGGATTGCCACAATTTATGCAGCTTTGAGGCTGGGTCTCGGTGGTAAGCGACCTGGGCTTGGTGAGGAGGGCTCAACGGGTCCRTGTTGTGTGTCCGTAGCTCTACAAAGTCATTTTTGCAGTGCTTTTAAGAAAAATTAAGTATCTACAGGAAGCAGGGTGATCCCCTATCTGAATTTGTTTCTTTCCACTTTTGTTCTCTGCTGAACTACCARAAGGATTTGATGCTTTCAGAGGTGAACGTGCTCGTTATTCTCAAGTAATCAGGCAGAGCTGAAGGAGAGGCACAGTAAGTGTTACAAAGCATCAGGTTCTCCATAACTGCTGGGCTTACAAGCAGAGGAAACTAAAACTAGACCAAGCTGAAGATCAGTGCTGAAGAAGGAGATCCAGGTTTAAATCTGGCTTAGGTGAGAAGCCAATTATGAGTATTTCGTTGTAATATGTAGATAATAGGCATATATGAGGGCAAGTACTTAACCTGTTTTGAAAGACGTGTTAATACTGGCTATTTAACAAAAAGATAAAATAAAACCAGTCAAAATCTACCCCACTCCAAGCCAGGGTGATTTGAAAACTTGAAAAAAATGTCCCTCRCCCAAAGAGTAGGTTATTTTGGTGGGATTTTGTAATTCCCTATCAGTCAAGGTGCTTATACCTGTGGTAGTCAGCCTTAGTAACTGAAGACTTAAGTTAATCACAGTCAGTAGTCTCTTCCTGTTTAGAAACAAAATGCAAATTAAAAAATAGTTTTACAGAGAACTGAAGTTCAGCTTACACATTACTATAGGGTATTCAAGTATGAAGATATGTAATTTTTGTTCAAAGTTAATTTCTCTCTGAACTTCAGATGATGTTTTTGAAGCCTTGTAAACCAAGCACGTGCTCTGGAGCAGTTTAAATGCTGGCTAATTAGCAGAAGCAGTTGCAAGGGGTTTCGAGCTGAGAGACCCTGGTATCRAGAGTGCTTTGTGCAAACCTGGACACACAGGAGAAAACAGGCTGCAGCTTTTGAGCTTCTTGTACCGGTGCCCATTAGACTCTTTTCTTTTGATGTCTGAAAACAGTGGTTTTGCTTTTGCTCCTTTRTGTTCTTAAATAGCATAAATATTATGTCACTGTGCATATTTTCTAACTTTTATAAATAACCTTTTTTAGAAGCCCTCTGGTAACAGTTGACAATTAATTAAAATGCAAGTGGACAAGGGAAAGCTTTTTTTTCTGCGAGGGACTGAGGTACTTGTAAAATGTAGATCAAAAGTATTTGTACAGTGAGATTAACCATAAAATTCGGTTCTACTGAGAGGTGGGAGCACTGGGCTGTTGCTCTTGATCTAAAAAGGAATGGTCATGCCTGCAGACCCAGGGCAGAGAACACATGATACTCTGTTTTAAAGACACTTTGAGGGCAGAGCTGTTTGTCTCGGGGAGGATGTTCATCTGCAGGTATTTTTTGATTGACTAGACACACCTCACRTGTGCTTCTCCAGCCCACCTTTTCATCACCACCGGTTACACTTCTTCTTCCTGGGTTCTTTCACTAACTCTAAATACGGTCTTCATCCCGGAGCCTCTACAGCACTCCATCCACTGAGCATGCCTGTTTTCCCACTGAAGTCTTCGAAGACTTGTGGAAAAGATGCCAACGCATCTGTGAGAAGAGGTCAAGGACCAGCCCCCCGTTGCCGTTGCACAGTCTGATGGCAGCAGTTGTCGAGTGTTTGGGGTGACTTACACGAATGCAGATTGGTTTAGTAGGAATAGGTATGAAGCTACTAGTTCAGTGGCAACAACTATTTATGTGACACCACTCCATTGCTAAACAGAAGGTCCAGTGCAAGTCACTAGTTAGGTTTAGTTCTTGAAAGCATTTTTAGTACAATACAGTGCAGAAAGAAAAGATCTTAAAATACTGGCTTTCCAAATCGAAATGGACTCTAGGAGGGTAAACTAACAGCAACATTTAAAGGTAATATCACTACTTCATCCCCTTGAATATTTTCTTTACACCATAAGCCCACAAGGGGGAGAAATCCAATATCATGCTTTATTTGTAAGTGTATTTGATGATTATTTTAAATCTTTTTCAGTAGCTGTGGTAGTTCTTTGAATTCTTTGTTGTGAGATCATCTGCTTTTCCACCTTGTTCTCTTTAGTAACGAAAGAATCTTTCAAACAGTATGAAATTGCTGTCACGTTTTCTGCAGTTGAGGGAGAAATCTGTGACTAACTTGATGTCTTCATTAAAATAAAAGATGTAGAATATATTGTCAAGAGTTGTTCTGTTGCTGCCAGAAGGAAAACATAGAAAGAATATTCCCAATTTTTTTGTAAACAGAAGGATTTTTGCATACTTTTTACTCTTTAAATAAAGACACTTATACTCTGCTAATAATTATGTATTTCTTTTGTGTTTTGCATTTTTTTGGTAATTTTACATGAAACAATTATTTTCTATTTTTACTCTGATAAAATATTTGTGCATAAAATGTCAATATAGTAAAATAAAAATGTTATACAGCTGATGCTTGTTCATTTGTTAATCTTTCAGAAAGCTATCTGTCATTGCTTTCAAGCATRAACAATTTATGTTTATTAATGCATGCATTTCATTTTTATTACTTTTAAGAATGCAGGCTGTTTACAGGAAGAAAGCAGAATATAATTTTTTTTTTTCCTGAAGATGCATCTTCTTTGACTCGAWACTGGCTGTGTTTTTATTTTTAAACTGGAGCTTCATGCCCAAAACAGCTTTCTTGAGAATCTTGGAGTTATATGTAGAAATAGAGATTCTTAGAATCTCAGAACTGTATTTTGAAGTACTGACTTCACAGTAAAACGAAATAATGTCTACTATAAATTTTTTTTATCTCATTTACCATGATGAATAGAGAAATCAATTATGTTTTGTAGTTCATGACACATTTGACATTCAGTTATGTTCTTTTTATAGGTGGTCTCACCACCATTTATGGTGGGAAAGGAAAAATGTGAAGATAATTATTAGTCATAATTGTAAGCAATTAAGAAAAATGAACACAGCTGGAAGATTCCTCTTTATGGGAGCCAGTTGGATTTCTTGTGTACATAGCTGTCTTGGTATTATCAAAACCAGGTAAAATTACAGAGGTAAAACTGCATCACTTCTCCAATTGTAAAACTTCTTCAATTGTAAAACAAATGTTGAGCAGAAGGTGTTACTAGAAACTTCGTCTAGTTTTTGTAGATGCTTTCAAGTTGTCAGTACTAAAGTGGCTGAGAAACAAAACAGAATCACAGATTCATTAATAGTGGAAGGGACCTCTAGAGATCATCTAGTACAAYGTCCCTGCTCCAGCAGGGAGACCTASAGCATGTGGCACAGGGCTATGTTCAAGCAGATTTTGAAGATCTCCAGAGAAGGAGACTCCACAACCTCTCTGGGCAGCCTGTTCCAGGGCTCTGTCACAGTCACAGTGAAGAAACTTTTCCTTAAGTTCCTGCAGAACTTCTGGTGCTTGAATTTGCAGCTGTTTCCTTTAGTTTTATCAGTGTTCACCAGTGAAGAGAGGCCAGCMCTTTCCTCCTCCCTCCCTCCCTTGAGGTATTTATACACGCTGATCAGGTCCCCCCTCAGCCTTCTCTTCTCCAGGCTGAACAGGCCCAGCTCCCTCAGCCCTTGCTCATAGGGCAGATGTTCCAGGCCYCTGATCATCCTGGTAGCCCTGCGCTGGACTCTCTCCAGCAGCTCCACATCCCTCTTGGACTGGGGAGCCCAGAACTGGACGCAGTCTCCAGATGTGGCCTTACCAGGGCTGTGTATAGGGGGACGATCACTTCCCTCGACCTGCTGGAGACGCTCTTCTTAATGCACCCCAGGATCCCGTTGGCCTTCTTGGCCACSAGGGCACACTGCTGCCTCATGGTCATCTTGTCATCCACCATGACACCCTCTCTGTGGGGCTGCTCTCCAGCAGGTCCGTCCCCGGCCTGTACTGGTGTCYRGGGTTMTTCCTCCCCAGGTGCAGGACCCTGCACTTGCCCTTGTTGAACTTCATGAGGTTTCTAGCTGCCCAGTCMTCCAGTCTGTSCAGGTCCCTCTGGATGGCAGCACAGCCCTCAGGGCTATCAGCTACTCCTCCCAGTTTGGTATCATCAGCAAACTTGCTGAGGGGGCACTCCATCCCTTCATCCAAGTTGTTGATGAATAAATTGAACAGGACTGACACATGAAYGTTTGTTTCATTCAGGTCAGCTCCTGTGTGAAAACCTGTAAGAAAAAATAAATGTATCTACTTAATTCCTTCAGGTATTTCGTGCAGAAGATCTAAACGAGATGGTCCTTAGTCGAGAAATAAGTAGCTCCATCAGTAACAGGCCACATCTTGTATGACATGTTTACTTCCCTGCCTTTGCAACTTGCATTTCATCCTAAACGGAGAAACTAGTGTTTAGGAACTGCGTTTTATGTGTGCTACATTTTGGGATTCACTAATCGAAGTGTAATGTCCCCATATCAGAAGGCAAAAGGCAGGAATTTTCTAACTCATAAATGCAAGCAAATAGACAGTGCTGAATGAACTGCTGCTTAGGAATGAGCTTTTGTTGTTTGTTGAAAATACTCCCATTTGAAGGGAAATATTTTTGAGTGAAAATGTCAGCTAACTGTTCCCTGCTCCTCCCATTAAGCTTAGATTTGTGAAAATTCCCATTTTYAAGGAGTCTGCAGGAACTGCTTCATGGGACCTGTGTTTGCAGAAAGCTTCAGCTAGAGAATACAGTGAGAATTGTGTGTTTGTTTAATTTGTGTGTATGAGAGAGAAAGAGTGAACAGCAAGCTATGCTCCTGCAAAACTCAGTCTTAAAGGATGAAAGTGCAAGGGGTAAGGGGTAAGGACATCCATAGGATGCAGTTTGTTTAAACTTCAGGATTAAGACAGAAACAGCAAATAGTCATGTCTAACTTCTTTTTCTTTTCCCTGAAAGTRGAATGCCATAACGTTTCATTCCAGAAACTCCTCCCAAATTGAAATAAACTACCAGCCTCCGAAGGGCGAGGACTGAGATTCCCTAATGCAGATCGTCAAGAGGAGGTTAAAGATGTTCCTCGGGGCTCTGAGATTCACCACGCAACTCGAGCCCTTTCTGGCTGTTGTCCAGGAGAAACAACTGAGAGCAGCAGAACCCAGGGAGGCCGTTGGGCCAACAACCTCCAGAACCGTCAACTGATCAATGAGGTGAATTGGACTTGATCCAACAAGAAGCTGTAAGAGGAGCCTGGACATGGCCCAGGAGAAATTTGCCAGACCTGCTGTGAGTTGTGTGAGAGTGAAAGGAAATATGAACCAGGTGACACCTGCACTGTAGGCTTTGCTATGGGGAGAGGTGTRTGAAGGGCGTCTGTTCCCCTCCAATGTCTTCTCAACCCAGGGCACTTCTAATGGCCTCTAAAAGGATACATTTTTGCAAGGTCTGTGAAACAACAGYGGAGTAGCAGGGAGCTCTTGCATTAACCCTGCCTGGGCAGGGAGATGAACCCAAATTCAGCTATTGTGCAAACACTGCATTCCCAGGCCAGCCTGCTCCTCGATTTGTCTCAATGGGAAAGATGTGGAAAATGTCAGAGCTGATTCACAGGTGCTGGAGGGAAAGGCCTGGACTGTTTTGGGAAGGGGACTCCTCTGGGTACATCATTCATGAAGCACTGTGGCAAGGGGAGGACGGATCTCCAGAGAGACGCAGTAACCGAATGGAGCGCAGTACTACATGGATAGATGGATCATTTATGACATTTATTAAACTGCAAAGAACGTGTTCTTACATGAAAATCAAGCTATAGAAAGACCAGCAGGTAGAGAGAGGGCAGTAGGTTCTTGCCCGTGCCATGCAAAGGGCTTACAGATGACTCCAGTAAAACCATCTGTTAAGAGAAGAACACACCAGAAAAGCACTGTGTTTCCCCTTCTTGTGTGTGTGTGTGTGTGTGTGTGTGTGTGTGTTGTTTTTTCCCCCCCACTCCCTTATGTGCTTAGCCAGGTAGCGTTACACTCTTTAGATCTCACCAAGCAGTAGACAAAGCTTACACGAAGGGGTGCTTTTATTCATGAATTTTAGGAAGAGACCCAGCCAGAGAGATCAAACTGAAGGGAAGATATAAAATCTCTTTCCTGAGAGGTGCAAAGCCCCTCAAAAATTTCAGCTGTGAGGATGAAAGCATTGCATAATAGACTGAAAAAGAGATATAGGCTCAGAGCTCATATTTACTGAAGGTGAGAGCAGGCATGAAGGGAGGAAAAAAGAGAAACTGATAAATCATCTCTGTGAAAAACACAAAGCCAGGAAGCAGAGAGGCTCCTGATTCAGCTGTCCCAGCAGCAGGCGCTGTTGGTGCTGCAGCCTTGTGCCCCAGCCAAGAGACTGTCTCCTCTTGGAGCCCTGTCTCAGCAAGTCTGTAAATAAATAAACCAGATGGCATCAAAGTACCTCTTGGTTATATCACTGCTATCTGCTAACCCCAACAACCAAAAATTGGTTATGCCCTTGGGTATGGTTGAGTAACCACATGAATATGTATTCATGTTTTCTTGTTTATTTTGCATGGTGCGCACCTAGAAAATTTTTTTTCTCTGATTTTCCTAGACTTCAGTGAAGGGTTCTGGGAAAGTGGTTTGCTTGAACTTTGAGAATCGTCTTAACCATCAGCTAGGAAGTGTGTCCAGTGTGCGAATAATCCCCCTGGCCTGAAGGGTGCTTGTGGGCAGAATGAGGCSTTAGAGCATTTTTTTAATGCAATGTTTTAAAGGCAGCGTTGAGAGCCTCCTTCTAGCTATAGGAGAAGTGCTTCGTTTTTAAGCTGTGTTCAGCCTGGTGGTTGTGGGGGACACTTCCTGAAGGTGGTAGGATGCTCTCTGCTTTCCCCGCAGTTTTTCACTGCTTGAGCTACTTGCCAGTATTCTCTTTCAACCAGCACTAAAATGAAAGCTTGGCCAGATGGTTTATGGTTGGACTCGATGATCTTAAAGGTCRTTTCCAACCACATTTATTCTGTGATTCTATGACACTGTTTGCTGAGGAGCATCTAGCCAGCTCTGCATCTACTCAGTCCAGCTTTCATGAGCWGTTTGAGAGTTACTGGTGCCATTCCCATAGGTTCTTTACTCCT